CCCTCACTTTCAGAGGCAAATGTGTGCGCTCATATGCACGAAAAGGCGTAATTCTTGATTCTGCCAGCATGGTGGTGGCACGCAATGCATGGCTCACCTGTTTTGTTCCTCTGGATTTATGTTTTCGTTGTTTGTTGTAGGACACAAAAAAGACAGGTAATAACAACATGGTGCCTCAGGTGGACGACTTGTTCCGCATGCGGATGCTGATGGCCGGCGTGTACGTCGGGCTCGGCGTTTCGTCCACGTACGGATTTAGCATCTTCACGGATCACCTGAAGACTAAGTACGGGTATTCGCAGACCGAAGTCACGACAATCAGCACCGTTGGAAATGTTGTGAGCTTCCTTAGCTTTCACGGTGGAGCGCTGTTTGACTACGTGGGTCCAACAATCGTGCTTCCGTTCGCCGGTTTCCTTGGAGGACTGGGCTTCTTAATGTTTGGGTTGACCTTTGGCGGCACGATCAACACCTCGAGCGTGGTACTGTTTTCCCTTTACCAGGGGATTACCCACCTTGGCATCCCGGTGATGGACGTTTGCACCATGATGACGCTGATGCTGCAGTTTCCTTTGGACCGCGGCTACGTGGTGCTGATCATGAAGACGTTCAGCGGGCTTGGGACCGCAGTGCTAATGGCGTACTTCAACGGCTGGTTCAGAGCGGCGGACGCGCATCGATCCGAGGACAACAACTACTCCGGCTACGCGTACTTTGTTGGGGTGCAGTTGATGTTGTGCGCTCTCGTCGGCGCCTGCTTCACGCGGCTACCGATGTACTATCCGTCAGCGTGGAGGAAGAAGCGCCTGAGCGCCGAGGATACTGCGGAGCGGGAGAAAACGCTTGGCCTGTACATGAGCCAGCATGCCCCCTCGCGGCGTCTGAAGATCGGGGTTGGGCTTGTCTTCGCCATGCTGATCTTTTCCGCCACGCAGTCGATTACGACGACGTACGTGAAAACGTCCCACGCGGGGTACATGGCGATCTCGATTATGACGGTGCTGCTGATGGCATCGTTCTCCTTGATGGCGATGCCGTTCCAGTTTCTGGGCCGCTACAACCCTGTGCGTCCCACGCATATGGCGGGCATTGGCGAGTTGGACGCGGAGCAGGCAGGCGAAGCCGTAAGTGGGGATTCTGAGGTGGAAATAAACAAGGCTCCCCACAATAAGCAGCCGGCCAAGGTGTGGCCGCAGTACAAAAGCTCCTTCTGGTCGCATTTGTTCTCCTTCCACCTGTGGGCACTGTGGCTCACTAGCTTTGGCATGTGGGGCACCGGTCCAGTGATGCAGATGAACGCTGCACAGATCAGCCGCAGCACGAACTACGGCGTGTATGACAGCCGAACTCTGACACTTTACATCGCCATCATGTCTGTGGGCACCGCCATTGGGCGTATCTCTCTGGGATACTTCGACACGAAGCTGACTGCTTGGAATCGTGCAGGCAAGACAAA